TAAATGACATTGGTTTTATTGGGACCCATGTTCTCTATCCTTGAACCGAAATAACCATGTAATAATGAAGTTAAATATTCAGTAGCTATTTGGCCATAGTTTCCCATATGAGATGTACAAGTTGAATTTCATCAGAGCAGATTTTTGTTTGGAAGTTTGCAATGCTGTAAACAAGCGGTCCGATCACAAGCACGTAATATATTACGTCGTCCGCACAGAGTGCAAACATGCGTAGAAATAAGCGATCACAACCACGCAATATTACCTGGTCCGCACACAGTGGAAACATGCGAAGCACGTAATATATACCCATTCACATCTATCTATATTCTAACTTTGGAGTCCGTATCATCAACCAGTACATAGCATACAATAAAACGTTTCTGTCGGTGTGTGTGTATTTCACTGTGTGCTTGCCAAACAAATGGTTAATGTGTTACGTGTAAGCATGATTGTACATGTATTTGTATTGACATCTCAACCATAAAAAAAAACATGTGCAACAACTAAACTCTCCATATCGCACCTTACACATAACACTACTGTACTGGTAACACATGCATCACAGTCACTAAGCCCGCGCGTAGCGCGGGTTTCAGCTAGTAGGTGTAATGACGCAACGCAATCATGTGATAAAATAAGTTCCTAAGGACCTAGTCCGTATCGCATCGTTGCGATATCTTTTAGATACATAGGTGAATCTAAGACTGAGTCTTCCGCGTGCTCATTTGCGTGTGCATGGTGCGTGCGTGTGGTGCGTGCGTGATAGCGCGCGTATGTCTTTGTGCGCATGCGTGTGCGTGCGCGCGCGTGTTCCTGCGTGCGTGCATGTGCCCGTGATTTTGTGTGCGCGTGCGTACGTGTCTGCGTGCATGCGCGCCTGATTGCGTGTGTGCATAACCCGTTAGCGACACACCTCTCCCCGCGTTGTACTATAACCACGTACAGCTATCGCGTGTTCTTCCACTTTTCTCGCCAACATCAATGACGTACACATTCCCAGACGACAGCTTTCTACGGGTGGAAGCCGTCGGACCAATATTGCTATAGGCCCGCGATCAGGAGTGACAGCAACCAGCGTCGGCCATTGTCGATAGCAGTCAATAGCCACATCTCCTCATGCCTACAGTGAATGCACGCACGCACGCGAGCGCTCGCAGCGATAGAAGCGGCCCGTGAACTATGCACGCACGCACGCACGCACGCACGCAGCATGCTGCATTGACGAGATCTCCGCCCTAATGTGTTTATGGACGCAGTGCAGAGGTAGGGACATAATGCAGTAGGCAGTATGGGAAGGTAATTAACACGCGGGCATGAAAGAGGTGGCACAGAGCAGGACGAGAGCGGGCCGCAGAACAGAGCAAGAAGTATCTGCAGCATAATCAGAGCAAGAAGATGGACACAGGACCGAGTAAGAGGGTGGCAAATGCGCGCTGAAGTAAATCGGTAGTCGAACCGCAGCTGTGTACGCTGCAACGCGACACGTGTCGTGCGTACGTACGTGGCGTGCGCACCGTGTGAATGATGTCGCGTGCGCGCGCGCGTGGCGGTGTGTTGTCCTAAGATTATTTATATGTCTTGGATTATAATCAGCCATCGTAGGCCGTCTCCCGCGTTTGAAGCGAAACATACGACAATAGAGAAAACGGCCAGCTGCTTACGCACACTAGCAATGCAGCCGTTATAACATGGACTGATTCTAGCCTGGTATACATGATTACCAGATATATAAACAGCAATTAGTAATGATATATTGTAATAGGTAAAGTATTAATAATTCAATAGAATTAAGACAGTTAATTAATAATAATAACTAGTCAAATAACATATAATAATAATACACGGAATCTCCTCACGTCCATATTAGTGTGCCGATGCATCATGAAGTCGTGTAACAGTCACACAGTGATCACTTGATCGAGAAAGGCTTCGGCTTCAAGTTTCCCTGCTAAGCCAAAACAGCAAGCATCTTTTAAACAAATATTCCCTCCACTCGTGTCTTTATCGCTTGGCTTTACATACGCCCGGTTATGCGTACGGCCAATACTTCTCATTTGCGCAGAGCAATACAGTTTCCGCCGCAGACAATTAGATCATGCAGCGACTGTAGACAGATCTTCACAGAGCCATATATGCAATAATCGAGGCGCGTGTCTTTCCCGTGCGAATTGCTACGAGTAAATAACTGTGCAATCTTTGTGCTGAAACTAAGCAAAACGTCAATGTTCCGAACTAACTGCGTATAGGTAACCACATTGCCATAAGGATCGTCCATCGATAAACTTCGGACGCCATGCACGCACACCTCACACCCAGCGCGGCACACAGAGGCTTACACGACGCCCCCTCCCACCATGTCCCGCCCCACAGCACACACGGCCCAACGCACACGCGCGTGCGCGACACAACTCGTACAGTGCGCCCTATGCGCATGCCTGTAAACACGGCTCTGCGCCATGTCAACGAACATCAAAGTATTGAATATTAAAACCGAATACATGATTCTCTGTTAAAGAGATTACATTATCTGAGCTAGAAGTGAGGTCAGGCTCAAGAAAATACATAGCGTTGTCAGAGCCCACAGTCGGTAGCAAACGTATAAAGCTGAGAGGGATAAAGCGGAAGAGGGAAAGAGAGAGAAATAAAAACCAGAGAAAGAGACCGAGAAGACAAAGAGATAGAGGTAGAGAGCGCGTCGAAGAGAGTGATGAGTGAGAGAGAGATAAAACTGATAAAAAGGGCGAAAGGAACCAGACGGACTTGCCATCAGACAGACATCACACACATTCTCAGAGATAGCGCAGTATTGCACCGGAGAGACTAGAACACAACATTCATGTACTCAGCGTTGCTTAACTGGGGTACGTTGACCGCCCCATGGGCGGTCGTTTGGGGTTTTTCGGGGTCAATGAAGGGTCATAAATAAAAAAATAATAAAAAAAATCTAATTCTATATAATTATCAGGGGCTACAAAAAGTTTCTCACTTGCCAGGTGCCACTGTGCCACAAGCCCAATTAAAGCACTTGTCCTCCGATTTTTTGACGCTCTGATGCGTGAACAATTTACATTCATTGACTGAGATGCCAGACAGGGATGTTTTCATAAATCGGGCTGGTTTTTTTTTTTCTCATTTTTGTTCGGGTGTCCGGTATCGACCAGAAGTTGATGGGGTCGTGGGCCAAAAAGGTTAAGAAACCACTTATTAAATCCCCATCGCAGTGAGACCGCCGGATCGCCAACAGCGCTAGGCTGCTTGTGTTCTAAATCCAGCGAGAGGCGCGGCGCTGCCGCTGTCGATGTGCTTCACATGAACGTAAAACACAGTAATCCGCGCCATGAACTTGCTCGCTTTCTCGCACGAATAGAACTCCTTATTGCCTGCTACCGCCCATGAATAAACACCCGTGCCTTCTCCGTGCGCGGCGCTGGCTTTACTTAAGTACACAATGAATGCTACGCGTGAAAACCTGAAGTAAAGCTGCACGCGCTCATGTGGGTACCTTCGTTGCCGCGTTGTGCGTGTTGTGTGTTGTGTGTGGTGTGTGGTGTGGTGTGCGGTGCGTGTACGTGCGTGCGTGCGTTGTGTGTGTGTGCGCGCGTGCGTAGCGATGGTGTGTGTGCGGGCGGGTCGGTGCCTGCGATTGCGTGTGACGTGCGTGCGTGCGTTGTGCGTGTGTGTGTGTGTGTGTGTGTACATCATAATTCTGTAAACGGCCGCTCGCAATCGGCCATATCTCCATCGTCTCATATCATGACTTTATGAGCGCCCATCACTCGATCTCCGCCGCACCGCAATCTGCGTTGAGGTTGTTTATCGGCAAGTAGGTCAACTGGAAGAAAGACGGAAGAGAGAGAGCGCGTGCAAGAGAGAGAGAGAGAGAGAGAGAGAGAGAGAGAGAGAGAGAGAGAGAGAGGGAGAATGTGAGAGAAGAGCGCGAAAGCGATACGGGTAGCGAGAGGTAGAAGAACGGACAACGAGAGAAGGGAGTAGCTCACGAGAGTGAGAAAGATAGTAAAAGCTAGCGAGAGTGTGCTAGCGAGGAAGAAATAATGAGAGAGCGAGAAAGAAAAGAGCAAGAGCGACATATAGAGCGAAGATATATAGATATAAGAGCTAGAAACAGAGTGTGACGAGCGAGAACGAGAGAGGGAGGAATGACGAAAGAGAGAGAGAGGGGGGCGCAATGACGAGAGACAGAGAGAGAGAGGGGGCGCAATGAAGAAAGAGAGAGAGAGAGAGAGCGAGAGAGGGGGGCGCAATGAAGAAAGAGAGAGAGAGAGAGAGAGATTAAAAAACGAGAAGGCGAGAAAGCGGAGAGGGGAAGAGAGAGAGAGAGGAAAGAGATAGAGACCCTAGGGGGGCAATGGAGAATGCGAACCAGCGGGTTACCAACGGCCAATATGTCGCTCAACAGGCGCGGCTTTGCGCTAAGCCGACGGCGGGATGCCTCATGGCTTCATGTTGCTACTGCTCGGGGGTCTGTCGTCGGTCACGGACGCTGCATGGGGCGCGCTGTAGCATCGCATCGTACAGATGCGGCAGCGGGGTGGCGAGAGAGGCTGTCACTAAAGCCCGCCACGCGCCGGTGGACGCTCTACAGCTGCGCATTCAAACCGTCGCAACGGAAGCGCAGTTTGTTGTTTAGAGTTGCCGCTGAAACCCGTGCGATATATATATATATATATATCTAATGGCGGTTTGAATGATGTAGAAGAAATGATTTACAGCATTGCAACAACAGCGGGGTTTTTTCTCAACCATGATTCGATTGTTGTTTGAGACGAGATAAACAGCAGCAAATGTAATATCATCGCGCTATTGATCAGTTACGACGGGCGTTTCATCGCTGTAATTCTGGTTAGTGGCCTTGTTTCTAAGATGGATGGTCGATTGAGTTAAATTATGGATTATCGATAGGCACAGCGAATAGCACAGATGACTCTTGTTAAAGTATGGCGAATTTAATGTGAGATTTTTTCATGTTTTCTTTTCAGGATGAGAAACGCCAGATTATGACGTCGAATGTGTGGTTAAAACAGGTATGAAATTACACCTTACGAAGTCTTACCAAAACAGTAATTACCTTAGTAATTTTTTCTCATACACGCGGCTAGGTTTGTCGCAGTAATATGAAACAACACTATCGTCATCGTCATAATTAGCTATGATCGTCATTGTCATCAGTGCCACCATCTATATCAGCGCTATATTAAACTTCTATCGGCTATTGCCCGCGGTCTATTTAGCAACCATCGTCATCGTCAGCGTCGTCGAAATCGAATTCAGCATCACCATCAACATATAGATTTACCCATTCACCTCCTACAGTCTAATTTTATATCTGCACATTATAATAAATACCAATACCATAAACAATAAATACATTAACACTCGCTGTGTACTCGCATGAAATGTATTAATATATACACACGCACACGCGCGCCGACACACTCGTACATGCGCCTATGCGCATGCCCTAACACGCCTATGCGCATGCAACGAACATCAAGTAGTTGAATATTAAAAGCCGAATACATTGATTCTCTGTTACAAGAGATTACATTCATTGGAGCAGAAGTGAGTCAGCTCAAGGGGAAAATACATAGCGTGCAAAGCCCAAAGTACGGTAGCAAAAGTATGAAAGCTGTAGAGGGATAGCGGGAGAGGGGGAAAGAGAGAGAAATAAAAAAGAGCCAGAGAAAGAGACCGAGAAGACAAAGAGATAGAGGTAGAGAGCGCGCGAAAGAGAGTGAGTGAGTGAGAGAGAGAAAAACTGATAAAAGGGCGAAAGGAACAGACGGACGCACAGACAGACATACACACACAGAGAGAGCGCAAATATTCACCGTGAGAGAGCTAGAAGCACAACATTCATGTAAATCAGCGGTTCTTAACCTGGGGGTCGTGACCCCCATGGCGGTCGTTTGGGGGTTTTCGGGGGTCATGAAGGGGTCATAAATAAAACAAATCTATAAAAAAAAATCTTAAATTCTATATAATTATCAGGGTGCTACAAAAAAGTTTCCTCACTTGCCAGGTTGTTGCCACTTGGCCCACAAGCCCAATTAAAGCACTTGCCCGAATTTTTTTGATCGCCTGATGGCTGTGAAGCAATTTCAGCCATTCCATTGACTGAGTATTGCCTGACATGTTTTCATAAATCGGGCTGTTTTTTCCATTTTTGTTTCGGGTGTCACGGTACTGACCAAGAATGTCTGATGGGGTCGTGGGGCCAAAAAGGTTAAGAACCACTTATGTAAATCCACTCGCGTGACCGCCGGATCGCCAACACGCTAGCGCTGCTAAATCAAGCAGAGAGGCGCGCGCGCGCTGTCGATGTGTTCACAACGAACGTAAACACAGTAATCCGCCATGAACTGCTCGCTTCTCCACGAAGAGTAACTCCTTATTGCCTGCTCCGCCCATATAGAACACTCGTGCCTTCTCCGCGCGGCGCTGGCTGTTTACTTAAGACACACTACGAGTGAAACCTGAATGTAAAGCTGCACGCGCTCGTTGCCGTGTGCGTGTGTGTGTGTGTGTGTGTGTGTGTGTGTGTGTGTGTGAACTTCTAACTTTTTGTGTCTTCCCATCTTTATATCTTATCTCTCCTCTCGTCCCCCTCCTCTCACTCTTACTCAGCTCTCTCTCTCACTTCTCATCTCCTCTCCCGCGGGGACTGAGCTCAGGTCCCTCGCGTGGTCGGTCGCACTCTCATCCCTCATGTTCTTCAGACCTCCCCTCCCATCCCGCACGAGCGCGCTCTCTCCTCTCGATCTCGAGTCTCAATGGCTCGTCGTCTCTCTTGCTCTCTCTCGCTCTCATCTCCTCCCTCTCTCTATGTGTGTGTGTGTGTGTGTGTGTGTGTGTGTGTGTGTGGTGGCGTGCGTGCGTGTGGCGTGTGTCGTGTGGTGCGTGGTGCGGGGGTGTGTGCATGTGTGTAAGCGGCCGTGCGTGAGTGATGTGAACGCGTTGTGTGATGTGTGCATGCGTGTGCGTGCGCGTGGCAGTAGCTCCGTACGGTCCGGTACATCCGCGCACTGCGTGTGTGTTATGCATGTGTGGGGCGTTTACATGTGTTCTATGATGTATGAAAGCCATGCAATGCATCTCGATGCATTAAAGCTGTGAAACGGTGCACGATGTAGAGCGCGTAGGCGGCCAGCGCGCCGGTGCCACTCTAATCTGGTGTTATATTTGATTCTCGGACAGAGGCAATCATTGCTGCCGTCGCCTGGCCGTATATAGGTATTACGGAAGGAGATGTCACGTCAGAGGGCACTTGCCGACACGTCATGTGAAGCACGGCTAGCAGAATGACTATCGACAAAATCATATGAACTGCTGACGACGACGACGCAGCGACGACGACGAGACGACGCACGACGACGACGACGGACGACCGACGTACGACGACGACGACCGACGAGCGAAGACGAAATACGATATGATGACGACAGCCGTCACCGACGACGCGATGATTCTCAGTGAAAAAAGAAATCTTATGACGACGAAGATGGCGGACAACAACTAACGTTGAGCGACGCCCGACGATCACCGCCGACAACGACAGAAACGACGAAACGATAACGACCGCCTACCAACAAGTGACGATGACGACAGCGACAGGCGTCGACGGACGACAACAAGGGCGAGCGTTCTGTTCGCCGGGCCGATCAGAGTTCGCTCGTACGCGCGCGGAACGGGCTCTGCGTCAATATTTTTCGGCGCGCCGCAAAAGTCTCGCGAGCGCAAAAAAATCAAATCAGCCTTACTTGTTGTACAGCACTAATATCTGGGGCAGCCCATATGCATCTCGAGTAGGGAGCGTGGAAGCGACTTAACGCCTTCATAGTCCTGCGGATCCCAGCGCAGGCTTCAGATCCGTCATTCTTAGCGAGACAAAGCACGGTGAGGGGATGGGGCCTTCACGCGCTGGTATATGTACCGTCGAGGCCGTAGCAACACCTCCGACGCCGTGCAGGTCCTTCTTCCTAGATGTTTATATATATATATATATATATATATATATATAGTTTATATATATTATATATAATTATATATATTCCTGAGTATATATATATATCCTGATATATATATATATTAATACATTCTGGCGAGTACACAGCGAGTGTTAATCGTATTTTTG